TCGAATGACTTGATTGAATCCTAAGTTAGGTAAGAACAAAGGAAACAGGGTGTTCAAACAATAAGTCTCAAATGGCAATAAAATTACTATTTGATCAATAAACCAAGACCGACTAGCGTGTCGAAGGCCACGCTACACTGTTCTTGGAAGCGGTAACTTTTACAACCTTACCGTTAAATGCTCCTCGAAGAACTGCCGCTAACGGGGCAAGCAAACACTACCAGCACTGGGTCACGTGACATCACATGGCGAACCATGTGACACCGCGCGGCCCAGTCTGTCCAATAACCTAACTTAACTACCTTACTCGGGAATATTATAGCGGGTTAATTTATTACTGGGAAAATTAATGACCGGGAAAAATATGGCGGAATTTTCCAAAACCCACCAAGCATCAAAATGTATTACTATTAGTTTACCTTACTCGGGAACATTATAGCAGGTTAATTTATGACTGGGAAAATTAATGACCGGGAAAAATATGGCGGAATTTTCCAAAACCCACCACTTTATCCCAGTCATAATATTCCCGAGTAAGGTAGCTAACCTGACTAAACCATCCATAATCTATTACACTAATCTAATCTAACCTTACACTTATCCTAACGGTTATGTAACACTTACACTAGAATATTCTAAAAGATCTAAAAAGCCTAAACCCTGCTGCAACCAGCTTACCATATTACACTACATATATTATATATTCTGAATTACCCTGGCAACTGGTAGGAAACTCGAAAAAATTGATGTAAAAGTAACATGATTTTGTCACCAAATTAATATTGTCTGTTTGGAATATCTGCTCACACCAAAACAAATGATCATTATAAACATTAAACATTCAGTTTTCAGAAAACTAGCTTAGGATATGCGAGGATTTAAGAAAAATTAACCTAATGTTTAGAAAAGTAAGGCACTTGTAGTAATAGTTGTGAAAGATGAAGTTTAAATTAAAACATTATTGATTTCAAAATTTCCGTTTCCTGCATGTGGCCACAGTAAACCTTGGAATAAATTGAATTGAAATTTTTGATACTCTGTGATAGAGGATATATTAATAATACGATATTAAAATTTTACACGCATACAGAAATAAATGTTCTACAAAAAATTTTTGGAAACGGTGCGCTAGATGGTCACTAAACTTCCTGTAAGATCATTTGGGTTTGCCGACACAAACCCCTGTTTTGGTGTATACCCCTTAACAGGTAACCTTATCGTGCGGTATTAAGAGGGATAACAGTTGGATAGTGATAGAGGATGAAAACTATTAACATGCATCACCCAGTGCCGCAATTGTCTTATTAAATGTACCTTATTTCTGAAATCGAAATTCTATCATATTGCTGAGACGGCATGTCTTTTGAACACAAAGTTTTCAACATCACATTACAATTTCAATTGTACCTGGTTTGCAATATGTTACATTTCTTTGAGTAAATGAATATTTTCAATTTGGAATAAAGAAATTCTTAAATTTATTAAACACTTTTTAAAAACATATACCCAAAAATTAAAAGATACATTTAAGTCATTCAAGCGAGACATTGTAGGTTTATTGTAGCGCGATGCGCTACTGTGCCGCGCCGAGCTGCCATGAATTGACATCGTCAATTAATAGGTTTATAACTTACCAGGACGCGCGCCGAGTTGGACTCGTCGACGGTCCAATATATGGAACAGATATTTTACGAGTATCACCCGTTAAGCGAGACAGCAACAAATAATCTGAATATGATTTAGACAAAGCAGTATTGACAATGCCAAATTTAAACAGGATATTTCAAACCCGTTATTTAAGTCGTTTTATTTGGTCAAACCAATATCAGCCGAGAAATTTCAAAATACTTTCATGTGCTAATCATTAATTGACTAAAAAGTCAACTGAAAAGCTCATGTGCCACTAAAATTAACTTAGTGACTGGTTTTTGAGCAGAATGAAGACTATTGATACCACACAAATTGAAGCAAAAAACCCAAAACAGAAGTTGAAAAAATTTTCTATTATCAGCTTGTCATACGTTGTATGTCCCGCCGCGCATGAGTGCGCGGCTCCCCCAGTATCGTTGAAACTCTACAGGGTTTTCACTATAGTGAAACGACCGTGGGGGTCACGATGTAATACAACTATCAGCAACTTAGCATTTTACAGATAGGAGCGCAAAACATTCAGCAGGGGATGCCAAATGTTTCAACTTGACACACCCACTGCGCCCATTCTTCCTTAGAAAATAGACTGGTAAAATCGAGCAAATTAAGCTTTATCCTGTCACTAGACTAGATGCTCATCGGGGAATGATTTCACAAACGTTGTAAGCATTTTTTAAATGCAAGGGATCTTTGATAAGTAAAACAACATTTTTAAAGAAAAACAAATTTGTATTTACCACAAAACAATCAATACAAAATGTTATATTCCTAAATAAATTCAAATTTGAATTTCAACCATATAGGAAAGAAAAATTTTTTTTTTTTTAGGAAAGAAAAATTTTTTATTTACCACAAAACAATCAATACATAATGTTATATACATAAATAAATTCAAATTTCAATTTCAAACACATATACAGTACGCCGCGCACACAGCCACAATTTTCAATTGTTCAGAAATTCGTAGGTCAGCTGTAGGCGCCGCGCACAGGATCTATTTAATTGTTATCTTACAATTACATGTCGCATTTCTTAATTACTAGAGCCGAAATTTCAGAAGCAAAATAATTTAAAACATATTTCTGTACAGCCCGCCGCGCACACAGCCATACATTGCTTAGAAATCCTTAGGTGCAGCTGTAAGCGCCGCGCACAGGTTCTATTCATACAGCAGGGTGTCAGAATTATTGGCGTGTTTGAAATTTCATGTGTATTTTATGATGAAATCAAATTTTTTCGACGGGTCATAACTTTACTTAGTAGTATGCATGTTTGGTGGGATTAAGTTCCACAATCGAGGTCCAATTACTGCACACGAATTGTCGTAGAGCGTTTGGTAGAGCTGACTGCTAGATTTATTCAGAGTGGGAATAGCTTCGTTTTGGACATGTCGGAGTGTAGCGGAAAACTGGATGTTGACATCATTTTGGCACTTGCCGTGTAGCACTTATCACTTGTGGATGATGCAACGACATCAAATTTAAGGCCTTGAGTCTCTGCCAGTAGTTTAGATAATAATAATAATAATTACAACATTTATAAACCGCCTTATAGCTAAATCATATAACTCGATATAATTTAATCCTGGAGATAAACTCCAGTGCTTTCTAAAGCGGCTCTTACATTAACTGAGCTTAGTTTAATTGAAAATTAGACATGACAAGTTCATTTTACCTATGTAAATGCAAAATCAATCAAATGCTAGAGAAAAGAAGTATGTTTTAAGTTTGGTCTTGAAAGATGTAACTGACTCAGCTGATCTTATGTCGTATGGCAAGGAATTAAATACTTTAACTGCACAGTGACTAAAAGCTTTCTCTGTGTTTACATAGTTAGGAGAGGGCGGAAAACTAAGGTAAAAATAATCATTATCAAGACGTACATTTTTAAAACTTTGCTGCCTAGGAGATATCAACTCTTTTAAGTAAGGAGGAGCTATATTATTTAAACACTTGTAGGCAAGTAGGGCAATCTTAAAATCTATTCTAAATCTAACTGCAGGCCATCTATTCTTGTTGTGAACTTGCGCTGAACCCCTTCCAGTTGTTGGACGTCCTTATTCTTGCTAATATTCTATAAGGGGCAACAGTACTCGAGATGGCTGCTGATGAGAGATTTGTAAAGGGTCAGCATGGTGACTTTGTTCCTCGTTTTAAACGCATTCAGAAACCAAGCAGCAACTTTACGAGCACGTTCGGCTATAAGGGTAACGTGGGGACTCCAGGATAAGTCAGCTGAAACCATCACCCCTAAATCCTTAACCACTTTGGAAGGGTGTAACATGTTGCCGTCTGAGACTTATTACTTGGGTTAGGATGGCAAATGGGTGGTATAGCAAGGTGTTTTGAGGACAATGTTTGTGGACAAGTAGCTCAAATTTATCCTCGTAAAGTGCCATGTTGTTGCATTTTGCCCACTTAGCGACACAGTTGAGATCATGCTGTAATATCTCAGCATCTGCTAGGCTATAGATGTGCCGTAGAATTCGGGTATCATCTGCAAAGCACCTGATGATTGATCCGGTGACACACAACTTCATGTCGTTGAAATTTTTTTTGATGTCACATGAACAGTTGGGCTGGCCTAGAGTGAGTGTTGATAATCTAGGATGTCAGTTCTAGGCAAATCAGATGTTACACAATGATACATTATATATGTTTTGGAGCCACTGCTGCATCTGTGCACTGTTTTACCATATATATGAAAGATACCAGCCCATTTTAAAGAAGTTTACCAGCATGGCTTGCCATGTAAGTCCATCATTTGACATCTCGATTCTCGGCCCTGTTAACAACCAACATTGTTAGCATTAGACTTAGCTGGCATAAAGAAATCTAGGCCTAAACCATTTGTTTCATAATTTAACGCCGTTTTTTCGTAACACTTTTTTTGATTCAAGGCCGTTTTAGAATCACGATATTCCAACAATGCAACTTTTCCCAGAATTATGGCCGCGTGTTCTGATCTCATCATCGTTAGAACTATACCATGATACCAAAAATTTGTAAATCCGAGAAACAAAATAATCATTGATTATCACCTAATATGAGGGGCACTCAGAATTAAATTGTGGTCTGTTTGGACTGAGCAAGTTCATACTTTCGCAATGTTTTAGCTACGAAAATGCATGTTTACGAATATAATAAACAGGTTTATACTTTTGCATTTCAACTGCGATAGTGATATCCCGGCCGTAGGCATGGGTTATACTAGTTAATTAATAATGGGATTTGCATTGGTTGTAACATGGCCCAGATGTATCATAAATTGTAACCCCCAACTTTGATAATTTTGTTTATGGAAGTTTCATTTTCACTATACTTACACATAAATCTTAACTTATCTCATTTAGGCCATGAGAAATCACATGTTGTTACTCCTATTTCTCATCAACTCCTGCCTCGCTTTTTATCTCCCAGCCATTGCACCAGTAAACTACTGTGCGGTTCCCACAGATACATGCAAGGTAAATTCTAGTTAATTATCTGTTTCAGTGTGACTGCTTATAACTTGTGCTATTATTTTCATTATTCATGTGCCTATTGCTGTTAATTACTATCTTCGATGCAGTTTTTTTCTTCATAGAAATAAAGAGCACAGTAGTTTGTTAATAATCTGCAATTCTTTAGTCCATACCGCGCCGATTACAAATAATAAATGTACTATTTTCAGAACACCATCCTACCGGTGCTTGTTAATCGATTGGACTCTACAGAGTCAGCCATTCCCTATGATTACACAAAGTAAGATATTTACTGCTATTATGGCACAATGCGCAAAGATATTGTAAAAGATATTATAACTACGAGTTTAAACCATACAATCCCTCATTGGAGCAGAAAGTTTAAAACAAACATTGCATCCGGGTATCATAAAATTAAAAAAATACCAAATAAAGTGTTATCTCAGATTAACGGGCAAAGAAAAATGGCAATAGTGCTATAATATACAATATACATACAATATAATTGATTGACACACCGAACTAAAGCAAACCAAATAATGATTTAAGAGGATACTCGAAAAGATAACACACAAAGACCTAGCCATGCCACTATATTAAAGTTTATTTAATCTTTTAAATAGTTACCACAGTAAAAATAACACGAAAATGTATTATTGTTGTAATACTTTTTCTTTTTGATCCCCCTCCCCCCGGCCTGGTAAAGTTCACATATAATTTCAGGTTCGATTTTTGTCCAATCGACAAATCTAAAGCCCCTCCATCAGAAAACTTAGGACAGGTATATAATTATTTCTGATCATATTCTAAATTTCAAACCTAAAAAAATGTTATCTACAAGCAAGTTTAGTCTCATTCATCAGAATTATCATGTTTTTACCAATATTGAAATATCTAAACATCCCATTGTATCTAAACATTTGATTTCAGGTTCTCTTTGGTGACAGATATCATGTCTCTGAATACCAGGTATGTACAACATATTACCTTAGTCGGTATATTAGTAATATTATGGAACACTTATCAAGTTAGATTATTCTTATCTAACTTGATAAGTGTTCCAATTCATATTCAACTATATAAATTCACTAACATCCAGAAACACTCCAGTCTGCAAGTCTGACTGGAAAACATTTTCGAAGAAAAATTTTGGTCCCAAAGAGGAAATGTTTAGAAGGTCTGGGAGGAAATTTAAAACTTACTGAATGTTGGTAAATTTATGAGGTCTAATTAATTCCATGATCTGGTGTTTCCACTATAGCCTGCATAGGAATTATTGTTGCTGTATGCCAATCCTCCGAGCTGCTTAGTCTTCTTGCTATGACAACTGAAACATCAGAATCACTGACAGTGCTTATCCTACGAGCAACATTGGAAATCTTCTGTCCCACCTTGGTATCTGAAAATGTCTGTTTTTAATAAATGAAGCATATTTTTGTACAGTTCTTATATCAATGTACAATGATTCGAAAAGGAAAGAAAGGCCGAAACTCTGTTCAACCCCAGATAGTCAAAAACAACTATTTTATTTTATTTTTTTAATCTACCACTTTGAATAGTCAAACTACCTGCTAAATTCTTCTGGGTCTGCTTGTTCATACCAAAATATATTATTGGATTCAAGATGGAATTTATGTACCAGAACGTTACTGTAGTGACCTGGGCCACCTCATAGGACATTCGAACCTGCAAAAGTTAATATTTGAGTTATTTTAATTATTACTCATTCCCTGTTGACTTCCTAATTTGTTCGCCATGAAATTTAAATTTTAAGATACTTCTTGGAATTGTGTTCTACCATTCATGTATACATATCATATTGTATACATATCATATTGTACTCCCAGTGACTTACCCTAAATGCTATAAGCAGTTGATCCGGTATTTGAGCTATCAATCCAGTAGCTATTATAAGGGTAGTCATGATGAGGAGCTTCTTTGTTTCTATCTTGGCTCGTTTGACGAAAAATAACATCAAAGCATACATAATGATTATTGCTAAAAAAGGTAGCAAGACAAAAGTAATCTTCTTCCACATATGATCTATTTCAAAGATACATCTATGATATGATGCTTGGTACACCATCTGAAATGAATTTAATTGTTAATTACTATATTTATCTCATAATAAACAATTAAAAACTATGCATGATATTATTAAGATCTAAATTTAGAACTGGTACTACTGGTCAACAAACTTTTAAAATTAATCTAAGGCAAACCTCAGAACCTGTACTAATAAGTACAGTATCAGTTATAAGGGGAGCACTGAGTATAACCCAGGCCACTGCAATCAAGATCTTGCAATTTTTGGTGTGCATCAACGGTTCATACCACATAGGAACCACCAATGCAATGAACCGATCAAATGTGAGAGGTACCAACATCAGCATTGGAGACATCCTGTAAATTCTAATTCTAATTCTAATTCTAATTCTAATTCTAATTCTAATTCTAATTCTAATTCTAATTCTAATTCTAATTCTAATTCTAATTCTAATTCTAATTCTAATTCTAATTCTAATTCTAATTCTAATTCTAATTCTAATAATTCCGATTTAGAATAGGTACATAATTGTGATCATGTTAAAAATTCATAACAATTCACTCATCTAAAATGATAAAACGGGAGTGGTTTAAATAATTTGCGAGTTCTTTGTTGAAATGTGTAGTGTTACAAAATGTACTCGCCAAATAGTGTTTCCGATGAAAGTATATGCAGAACACCACCAATTCTGCTCATGGGTATCACTGTCATACCCAACAAATGTCGATGAGATGATTCCAAGACCTCTGACGAGTCCTAGCATTGCTATCAAAACATCACTCACTGCCAAGTTCAATAAGAACAAATTCTGGGGGATTTATTTTGTCATTAAAGTGGTATGATATCTGCAATTTTTGATATTTCGTAAACTTGACCTGATGATTAGATATAACTGTCGATTCTAAGTAATTTCGGAGTTGTTGTAATATGCCGAGATTATATATAGAACATCGTCCAATTTCCAAAAGTAAATCCTGTAGATTTATAAGTAGTGGAAATGAGTGACCAATTTAGATTACCTGACGTCTTGGTAGCTTAACATGTTTGATAAGGCAGTATATTGTAAAAGCACTGAGAATAGTTCCCGTGCTACCAATGAATGTCAAAACACTCCCCTGAAATAATCAAAATGTTGTGATTGTGCATCGGCAAATAAGCCTAGCTTGTCAAAACTTTTGACTCAAAACACTATATATATTGCTCTGTAAAGAACTTATTAAAGAAGGATTTCCTTTAAACAAAACTCACGTTAACGACTCTGAAAATGCATGTTTCGTTTTTACTCAAACAGGCGCTCTCCTCTACATTATATACCATACTGTTGATTGTAATCTTTCTCTGGGAGGCTGATTTATTGTCTTTTCATTTTATTGGAACCATAAAGCTATGAGAATTAAGATGGTATCAAACAGTTGATATTTGATACACTCAATAAGAATAGAGAATCTTATAAAAAAGTTGTGAAAGTTGGGCCTCGACAAGTGACAACGTGTGACAACTGGCAAGCAGCAAAATTCCAATTATTATACAAAACAAAAGTCGGGCTAAATCCAAATTGGGCAAGGTGACATGATGATCAATCCCAATAAAAATATGCATCCTTTTAATTTGCTGTCAATGAATATTTATAATAATACATATTAATAAATGAATGATTAAAGTCTACCTAGCAGCAGATAAGTCATGTTTTACAACATCAAAATAAAGTGAAAATTCAGAATGTCCCTAGCAACGATGCTACTCAAATCTCAAGTTACATACCTCTTTTGTGACTGGATGTATGCCGGAGGAATGAAAGCTAGCATCTGTTGTTCTGGTGCACAAGAAAAGTGAAAAAAGATCTGTCGAATATTTATAATATTTATTCATAAATAAATGATCAAAGTCTTACTTAACTGTCTTACTTAACTGTACCACGGGTAACACTAGCTGCTAGCAGATAAGTCTTGTTCATTGTGCTACAACATCGACTAAAGCGAAAGTACAGGGTGTCCCTTACTTTAACATTTTATTATTGTATGCCCATGATGCAGCCGTAACCGAAGGTTTCATCTTCATATCCTAACTTGGAGTGCTACTCAAACCTCAAGTTGACACAATATGCTTTCTTCATGTTCAAGAGCCAATATTTCGGACAGTATTATCACTTTAGTGTAAAACTCTAAGTTGTCGGATATATTAGAGCAATAATTTCGGCTCATAATGATCAGGGTAGCATGAAACGTACAAAGAAAAGTGTTTCCAGGGTAAAAAAGTCAAAAATCAGGCTATGATTACGTAATTTTGCTGTCAGGAGGGGGGGGGGGATGGTGGGTTTTGATTACGGTTGATAATGGAGGGGGGAGGGGATACAAATTCGTCAAATTCTAAACCTTCATGATTAGGAACCGTCCGGAATAGGCTTTTGGCTGCTGGACCGGATTTTGCCGGATACCAATCTATTGTCCGGTTAATCGGATTTTGCCGGACCGGAAACGGTTAAGTTGTTAGGAAGGGCAAATATAAGGCTGCCAACCGGGGGGTTGGCTTTTCGGTTTTCCGAATTCTTTTAAAAAATGTTTTTCTTGAAACCACTTTTCTCCACGTTTCATGTTACTCGGTTTTCCGAAGTCCGCATCTACCCCTCGAAAAACAATTTTGGACTTGAGGACTCCCCTTTTTTTTCTTTTTTTTTTTTTTTAGAGAGGCTGGGCCTGGTTGGCCCACGAGAGGATAGCATATGAATGCTTTGCCTACCTCTGGGGTATGGCAGTCCTGTGGGAGGATGCCAGTGGAATCAAGATGTGTAATCAAGGATGATGGTAAGTGTTGTGGGGTGTGTCATAGATAAACGCTTAAGTGGTGGTTGAGTGTGGAAGAGAGAGGCGAAATAAGACAGCGTTAAAGTAGTCGTTATGTTACACCTGTCTGGTCCAACTCCTCTGGCACCACTAAGCGTTTAGTGTGGTTTGTAAAGTTGACAATGGTGGAGATGTGTTGGTTGTCGAATATGTCATTGGCAGAGAGGTAGTAGTCCCGGAAATATTGACCTCTTATTTGGGCAATAGCCGGGCACTGTCCGAGAAAGTGTGAGACAGTCTCCTCTTTGTCGCCGCATTTAGGACAAGCACTTGTGTCTGATTTGCGAATGGTGTGTAGGTGTTTGTTGAGGCCACAATGTCCCGTGATGAGGTGCACTGCAGTTCTATAATTTTGTCTGTTGTTACTGAGTGTAGTGTTGAGATTTTTGATGATGTTGATGTTTTTATGTCCAAGTGTCAGTTTAGTGTGTCTGGGACCATCAGTAATCCATGATTCTTGATTAAGTTTTGTGACTTTGTCGTTGATCAGGCGTTTGATGTAAGATTGTGGAATTGGGCAATTCAAAGTGGATTCACTGGTTGTACCATTTTTGGCCAGCTCGTCTGCTTTTTCATTACCCCACAATCCAATGTGTGCAGCTATCCATCTGATCTCTAAGGTGTTAGTGGATCCGAGTGTATTGAGGGTGTCGTAACAGTCTCTAGTAGTCCTACTCCTCGTTGAAGGTGAGGATATGGCTTGAATAGAGGAGAGACTGTCTGACCATATGATGATGTGTGTGTTTGTATAAGTTGATAGATATTTACAAGCTTCGATGATGGCAGTGAGTTCTGTTTGATAAACAGTGCAATAATCGGGAAGCTTGAATGATCTTTCATCTAGTGTAGTGTTGTTGTTGTCTGTGGTGATAATATAACCAGCCCCGCTACCTGAGTCTGTGCGTGACCCGTCTGTGTAGCAGGTGATGGTTTCACTGGGGATGTTGTCGATGGTGTTTTGGAGTGAGCCTCTATATCCAATGTTGTCAGCTCCAGGAGTGGTGACCGTGAAGCGTCGTTCAAGCATCATGGTTGGTATAGATAGGTCTCTCTCTGCTTTGGGTGGTATGTTGAGATCTACC